AGCTAATAAATACCAGATGGACAGTGCAACAACGGAGGATACTATGAAGGTGTATCAACTTCTGCGAGCGATGCCTTATGAAGGATTAGTTATGTGGAAGCAGTTTGCAGAAAATGAAGAGTGCACAGTGTTATTGTGGAAATATGGAACCCCTCCTCATTTTCAGCGGTTGAAAGTACATTTACTCAAGTTCTGTACGTAAGAGCAGTTTTGATGTACTACATCAAACATATTTTAATTTTTTAACATATTTTAATTTAATTTTTTTTCTTTAATGATAGTTTCTAAAATTATATTATTAAGGGTTGAACTACCAAATAGTTACATAAAGTATTGTAGTTCAAATTAGCTCCAACTCAACCAGCTACAACATTAATAGTAGTGCTACAGTAATAATAATTAGATTATTTAGCCCATGACACGGTAGCATTACAATAACAGAGGACATTCTGCTGCTTAATAAGAACTTTTTCTTTTGATGCTTTAAATACTTTTTGTTGCTAATACTTTTATACATGTACTTCGGTAAAATCTTGAATGCACGACCTAGTAAAATGTAAAGCTGCCTATATTACATCTATTTGAAGTCATATAAACATCCAATACAGCATAAAGTCATGTTGGATAGCTTGGGTGGTGCATTGGTGAGTAAGCTTTTATCTTTTAATTTAGCTCTCTTGATTTATTTGAATAATCATCCTTATCTTAAGCGAAGCTTGACTGATCCATTTTCTCTTATCAGACAAAGGTTTTTGACAAACTTTCTACAAAACAAGATCATGTCAAAATGTCCATTGTCTCTCTTTTGCAGACAATACTGGACATTCCCTTCTGTAAAGCCAATATGTATCTGTGGAATACTGTGGTGCTTTCCTATGGCTCACTGGTGTACAAGCATTGCGCCTATTATACACCTTGTCCAGTAACTGCTGTTCAGGTAATCAAATAAATCACATTCCTTTGATAACTATTCAAGAAAACCATTCCAAACAGAGACATGTAACAGTACCATAAGGTAATTTGAGATGTGGTGAGAACCTGAAACTGAGTAAGCCTTGATTAAGTATATGAATGGAAAATTATATTGTAATCAATAACTATTTGTAAAAGCTGACTGCACGTTTGTTGAACACCTGTACTAGCCACTGCTGGACATGGCCACTGAAAGTCTGAAGAATGGCAATGAGGCAGACATGGTCATCGCTCTGAAAGCTCTGGGGAATGCAGGTCATCCAGACAGCATTAAAACCATCATGCGTTTCCTCCCCGGAGTTGCTGCCACCTCGTGTGCTGAGTGCTGCTGTGCAGTCTATGCGACTCATCGCTGCCAGAGACCCTCACAGTGTAAGAACACTACTATTTTGTGTATGGAGGAAGAAAATAAGACTGTTGCAGTTGCTTATCAGAGCTACAATATAAGCTAGTTTTTAATATGAACCATGTTTATGGTAATTACATAGTCAAGTTGAAAGTTAGATCTTTTGATAAGGTCAGTGCTTTCACATAAAACTATTCTTATCCTGGAAAGCATATTTAATTTTCTTCATTGTGGTTGTCACAGTGGGCTGAGTGCAAAGGCAGGTTAGGACCCAAATGCAAGACAACAGAGAGCATGATCCAGTTTGTGATATTCAACACTCACAGTAAGTAGTCAAGTAAGTCCAATAGGGCTGAGTCCATGCAGTGCAACACATAAAGCCACAACAGGAAGAGACGCCAAAAAGCCACAGAGGAAAATTCACAGGGGTACAGGACACTCAACATAAAATGATGATACAGCAAAGACTGAACAGAACTGACAAACATTTATACTCAGGTAAACGAGCAGAACAGGAGAGTAAACAGGTGACAGGGATCAGAAATAACGAGACAGGCAGGCAGAAACAGCACACAGAGAACTCAGGACAGGATCGTGAAAATGGCATGTCTGATTCATGCTATTGTCACATTATCTTTACATTGTGGGGATGCATAATCTTCTCCGTATTTATATCTGCAACGCGGACTGTAATCTGTCTTTCAAATGTTACTGTCAGTTCACAAAATGAGAAACTGTAAGTAAGAGACTCCGGTGGAACAGAACAGAAATTTCCTCAGCAGCAGGTGGTTGAATAAGCGGCCTTTCTGAACTCCTAATTTTTATAATGCTTGTGCTTTCAGGTCCAAGACATTACCCCAAGTCTATTCCTGCAGAAGAACCTTCACAGTGAGATACGCATGCATTTCATTGGTAGAATTCTGCAGCTATTGGAGGTACAGCATTACCCTTGAAACACTGAAGGTAAATGTGTGTTCCAATCATGAATAGTAATCATCTTTTCTTTTATGCTGAAGTCTGGTATCCGTGCTGACGGAATTATGGAGCTGCTTGACACCAACATCCCTAGATTTACAGGAGATCTTAGTTCTGGTGACTTAAAGGCTATTTCCAATGTGGTGAGTATAGACATTAAGGCAGTATCTGGCCTGTGATGTGTCAGCTTATTTGCTTTGGTGACCACTGTGCTGTCATTTTCAGCTTCAAAACTGGGAAATTCTGCCCAAAGATAAGCCCATCCTTTCTGCCTATACACGCGCCTCTGGACAAGAGTGGTTGTTTGCTGATTTTAACAAAGAGTTCATTGAGAACATCCTCAGGGTGAGAGAATTAAAAATAAACCCACAACGAATGGTCTTTTTGTTGTTTTTCCTGAGATACTCCCAGGAAATATTAAAAGTAGTCCCAGGTAAGCACAACAAGTACAACCTATTACACCATACAGTACTGTGTAATCCAAAACAACATCATAAACTTACATATGGCCTCAAGAATGTAACAAATATTTCGGTTCAGACAGACCTCTCTAGTCGCACTGCTAAACTTACATGAGATACAACACTCAGTGAAACTTGTAATTTTTATTTAACATCACTGCTACAGTTGCTGCACTGTAACCCGCTATTACATATCTAAAGACAAGTCCACTCACGCTGCTTCAGTATACATTTGTAAGATAAATAACTCCATCTTTGCTCCATGCAGTTTTGACATGATTACTCTTAACTATATTATATCATAAACTTATATATATTGAACTGCTGGCTATGAGCTGTCAATTTAAGGCATTAAAGATGGTTTGCTTTCTTGGGTTATTGTCTTTATAAACTTCCCCTGCGTGAATTCCTGTTGGTTGAACATTCTGACACAACCAAGTCTGCAACAAAATAGGAAAACATCAACATCAGAGTTGGTGCTTTTAATCCTTAGAGTACATCATGCTGATAAGCAGTGTGTGCCCTCTCTGCTGTCTGGTTTAATGTCTCAAACTTTTATCTGTTGCACATCCAACAGTGAGTCAAGGGGTACTAACACACCCTGGAGTACAGTTTTCTGTGGGTGTTTAATCACTCTTTAAATGTTTGGGTTTTTTTTATAAAAATGTTTTTTTTGATGAAATCGTGTAATGATGGACTACAGGTGTTTATATTAATGTGTTTGCCTATATTCTTAACTTTTTTTGCTAACATGGCCTGTGCATTTAATTAGTCCAGGCAAACAAAGCTGTTGACAAAATCCACTTTGAGGTTAATGCTGGCCGGAGCCAACATCCTATGAGCGCACGGCAACTGCTTGAGACTCTGAGGAGGCTTTCCAAGGTATTTGGCTACCCTTGCAAAGATAATTTCTCTGCACCTGTTCTGGGTTTTTATCCATTCACATTCTCCTGTTGCTTAATTGTGTTTACAGAAAGCCACCCAGCGATTACGTGTGTCATCTGATTCAGCATCAACCGTCAGAGAGATCTCATCACAGCCATCATGACAATGTAATGAAAGTATGCTAACACAGAGAGTGACCCAAAATGTTTCACTGCAATATATTGGCAGTTTGTACTGAGCAATGTCATCATGGGAAATGTTTCAGCTGTGCCTATGATTTATGATCCCACCAGGACCACAAAAAAAACTGTCCATGTTAGCTTTTTGTGTGCATAAAAAAACTCCACATAAATCTATTACAGTCTAATGGACTGCATTCTGTCTCATTCAAAAGAGTTGGGCCTCAGCACCTGAAGCTGTAGCCACTATCAAAGCCTTTGCTTTGAGCGGTAACCAGAAGCCAGAGGGTTACTATGCAGTCATCTATACACCCGAAGCAAACACTCAGAGCACCAGGTTGTCCCAGGTTGGGGAAGGCACCAACTGGAAGGTGTGTGTTGACACCAGTGTGAATGCCCATGTCAAGGCAAAGGTAGATATAAAACACTCATGGCATTACTGTAAGCGACTGTCTACCTACTGCCTTTTACATTTTTCACTGCATCCGAAAACATTACCTCAACTCTATGGCCATTGTTTAGTTTTCCAGATAGCAACTTTATTGTTTTAGTTAACCCTTTCCCCTCTCATCCGTGTCATTTTCAGCCACAGCAGGAAGCTGTTTTCAGCTATAATGCTCTAAAACCTAATTATACACTACCTGCTCAGTATCAATGGCAGAAAGACACAGTTAACAACTCGATAAGGTAAACATAGTGGAGCATTAAGCAGCTAAAGAGACAGATATTTCCTTCAGGTGTTGGTGGAGACCAAAAGCAGAGCTAAAACAAGAATAAACACTGGATTTAGCCTGAGCTGGAACATTCTCATATCAACATAAAGGTTCCACTGCTCCCCATTGGTCAGGGGAAAATAAAACAGTGACTGGAATGATTATACTGCCTGAATCCTTTATTTAATTTAAAACGTAAAGTTTATATCCAGCATTTTAAATCTGTTCAAATACACTGTCTACAAATACTGACATTAAAATAATAATATGGTCATAATTATGGTCTGTTTTAGGTATTTTATTATATTGTATGTTGCATATCAAGGCTGATGCCAAGTCTTTTGTGTGTAGAGACTCCCTTCATGATTGATATGTTCTGTTTGGGCACATGTTAGATGGGGAGCTGAAATGTCAATGAGAGGTGCAATTGCACATTTCCCAGGTTCCAAGCCAGTGTTAACGGCCAAAGCACACTGGACCAGGATCCCAGAAACCATGGCAGAGATGGGCAGGAGGTGAGCCTTGGTGGAATAAAGATGCAATTTTTATCAACAAACGTGTGGAGGAAGAGAAGAGTGAGCTGAAGTGAAAGGTGGAAGATGACTTTGATTCACGTTTTGAAACAATTTACTTACTTACTTTCAGAGTTTGCAATCATTACACCCCCCTGCATGTGCTGTTAAACAAGTGTTTCACCTTTTCCAGAAGTGAAAGGGTCATCCAAGTTGTGGCTTTCTTGCTCGGCTTCTCTGAGAAACGTGAAAGAAATGCCCAGCAGAAGGTTTCTGCATCAGTTGTTGCCGCCTCAGCAGACACCGTCGATGTAAAGATTGAATTCCCGGAGGTATTGGAGGAAACATTCACTACCTACATTTTTATGCAAAAAATACAAATCCTTGCATTGTATATAACTAATCTTGACTGCTGTATTTACCTGGGTGTGTCATTTCTTCTGTGATGTCATTAGTATACAGTCTACTACCAGGGTTTTCCAGTTCCACTGCCACCTGCCCTGTTTTGAGGAGTTTCAACACCACATACACATAAGTAAACCAGTTTGACGAAGCTTAATGGAAGGTTCATACACATTTTCTGTCTTTTCTTTTGGGGGGGGGGGGGGGGGGGCAGGGGATTATTTTGACAGATTTCTATGCAAAGCAGATGAGCAAAAACAAGCAAAGAGTGGTGCCATTTTTGCTTGATTTATAAAATCTGTTTTGTGCTACAGAAAGACAACAAAGCCCAGATGGGAGCCAGATGCCTCTTTTCACAGTGATAACACTGCAACCAAAATTTCACCACCATGATGAAAGTGAGGCTCATAAAAGATGCATCAGTAATCCATCAGATGTCATTAGTTTGGCATAAACCTGTAAAGGTCCTGATGCATACATTTTGAAAGAATGTTAATATTTGAACACCCTCTTTCGAAGAAACATTGTGTAAATTCATGCAGTCCTAAAACATTGCATCTTCATAATACTGAATTTACCAAAAACTGTTTCAGGGTTTTTTTCTGATTCTGTCTGTGTAAATCTTTGTTCCCCCAAACATTGTGTTAAATCTGTATATCCCATGATTAAAATGATGATCAGGCAGTTTTTTCCTTCCTTTTTTCTTTTCTCTTCCCTTATAATTAAATGAATCTCCATTGAGGTCAGTTTTTACTTGTTAATGGAAGATTAAAAAGGAGCTGGATTGTAGTTACAGTAGACCTTTCAAGATGTGTAATTTAGAACCAAATTATTGATATATGATATTACAGTAACTGAGGAATAAAATTTGCTAATTTATAAATATCACACAATATTGTAGACAAAGATCAGCATTACTGATGAAATCCATGCAACTTCTGAAAAATGTCAGAGCAAGTCATAAAATCGCTGTTTGTAAATTAAGAGTGTCAGCCTTGTCTGATGCAAACTTTGCAGAGCTCTTTGCTTTTGTTCAAAAAAAGAACGCAATTTGCATGACATATTTGCCAAATAAATTTTGTTCTTACAAAATATAAGAGGAGTGGAAACTGGTGAAGCAGAAAACACAATCCAAATGGTTGGCAGGTTCGTCTACTCAATCAGCCAATTTTGTCTTTGTTAACAGGTCCTGTTATACTCTAAATCAGTGGTTGGCAATAGGCGGCCCGTGGGCCAAAGCTGGATTACTTTGATAGGGCAAAAAAAAAATTATTATAGTGGCTGGCGCTGAAACAGATCTCAGTCATGACAGCAAAAGTTACTCACATAAGCACTTCATCTTGAGTGATTGTGCCTACAAAATAAAAGGGCAAGAAAGTTTTTGCAGCAGTACTTTATGTTGTGTGTAATTGAGAGCTTTTACTTTGAAAGGTTCTCAAGGAAATTCAAGAGTCTCTGGTTTGCTTGACACTGCTCTGAAGTAGCCATCAGAAAAGTGAGTTAGAATTCCCTTGAATGTGAAATGCAGGAATTTCCTCTGCTTGGAGATACTGGGGACATGAAAATAAGCGTCCATAGGTTGATGTGGACCAATTGCCGGGATGAACACACTCTTGCACATGCTTAATTGTGTAAAACAATGTCTTCATAATCAATTTGGTGAAAAGGGAGAAAAAATACTAGCAGCAAGTGGGGCTTGAACACACAACCCTTTAAAAGGGAGTCGTGTACACTACTGACTGAACTTACCAGAGACACAGTAAATGATGGTTTATAAATGATGAATTGACGATGTTCTGGCCCGCCATCTAATAACTAGAAAAAAAATTGGCCCGATGCCAGACTTATTTGCCAACCCCTGCTCCAAATATTCCATTTGCTTGTCGAAATACTGAACTGAACTGTTGTGGGTGAGTTTTGGAATAAGAAAACTGGATCACAAATGCCCTTTTTGGAGGGTGTTACTGAACGTGATGGATGTTTACAAGGTCTGTATGACCTGCTGTGTTTGTTTGGTCAACTGACCCAACAGGACTGTTTGCAGATATCAGTACACAATGTCACCATGTGTGCCCTTAAAGTTCACTGCCTGTGCCACATAAAATACTGTGTCCTTTGGTAAAACATATCCAGTGCTCTTTGGATGGACTATATTATTTGATATTCAGAGATCTCAAAGTAGAAGAGCTATTTTGTGAATGCATGAAAGATTTGATGAACATTATATGGCGCTTCTGAACTGGGCTCAGTCCAATTCTCAACTTCAAGTCATAACAAATCGGATATGTCAACATAATGATTGCATCCTGACCAAAGACTGGTTCACTTAACTACTTCTGGCTTTGCTTCTCCTGCCTACACTGATTTAGCCAGATGGTGTTGAATTGCAGAGAAAAGACATCGACATCAAAGACTGAACAGGATGAGCCCAATTATAATGGCACCATTATGTTCCATTTACATCTCTAATATCCTGTGGGCTTTCAAGGGCCGGTTGACAGACGGATTGCAAATCTGTTATGCCTACGTCAAGATCCACATCATGCTCCTGTCGCCTAGAAGATCGGGACACCCTGACCTTGTGTTGACAGGTGAAATCAATTGGTTAGAAAGCATTAGTGAATGACTGATTAGGTCATTTGGTAGAGGAGGAATAAGCCATCCTCTCCTTTTTACTGCTACTCACACTGTGATTGTGACTTGCCTCATTAGGCAGACTATACCAGCACTACTAAAAGCTATCTGAGGGTAGCTGATAATAAAACCAAGGCTACAGACATTTTTGCCCTAATTGTAGCTATTACTCCATGTTTTGTGCATGGCATACAGCATTGTTGGATGCATAAAAAGTTGGGAGGGTTTTTTTGTTTTTGTTTTTATAAAACACACCAGTTCAACAAGTGAGACTTTATAGAAAATTATTTGGGCAGGTTTTGAACAGATAGCGTATGTTAAGAAGAATTACCATCATTTGTGATCGACATATTGACTTTTGGAAGTCTGTAGTGTTTTTAAAATCTGAAACAATATGCTGTAAATCCTTAAAAAGTCATGATTTTTTGGCACTGACAACACAGAGTGTGAGCACTAGAGGACAGTATTTACCACACATTAAAATATGCCTGGCACAGTGCTTAAAGCCTGGCACCAGTATTTGCTCAGTTCACAGAGAGGGCTATGCAGTGGATGTTGACATTTTGAGGATAAATAAACATAGGTCTTGGCACGGTCAAAATGATCCCCCAACTCTGAAGCTGGCAAAGACAGCACACATTTTATTCTAATATAGAAAGAAAGTACTTACTGAATGTCAGTTTTCTTTGCATGCCTATTAATGCAACAGCAACATGTGCTTACCACAGAATCTAAGGACACTTTTTAAATAATAAACATATATCTCAAGGGGCATTTGCCAATATGTGCAGCTGCTAAACTAAGCACTTAGCAGGGGCACTGTCATCTCTCTCATAGCTACAGATTTCTTATTAGCAAGTAGAACTGGTTTGGTGTCAGGTGAAGATGAGCATTAGTGAATGATCAGTCAGGTAATTTGGAAGAGCCATAAACTGGATTGCTTTTCCACCAGCAACACATACAGACATAAACTGCCTCCCCTTCTAATTTAAGGTACACAGAAACAAGGCTTGTGTGCAGGGTGAGATGTGAGTGGGTGAGACTGGTTATATCACTGACATTGTCAAGTGGGCACACCTTGTTATGGACACTTCGTGACACCTCCAGAGGGCTCAAAATCTGACATCACGCCTGCTGTTAGACTGCCACTGAGCTCACATCACTTCACCAATAATTTCACCATCACTCTCACCAAATGTGCTTGTTGCCATGTTCCCTGACGTTATTATTAAGAAATCATGTTCCTCTACACTTAAGTAGTTGCGCCTGTTTTACAGGAACATTTATTATGAGACTTTACTCTTGAGAAGCATAGAGTATGACCATACATTTAAAACTGTCATCTAAGGAATATGTTTATGATAATGATAATGGCATGTTTTAAACTGCTTTGTCAATATGGTAATAGAATGCTATTAGCATGCTTTTATTTTGACTAGCAGCAGTGGTGGCAGCTTCTATGGGGCTTTTGCATAAGCAGAACTGCCAACAAAGGTCAGATGGTTGAAGCGAGATTTTCATGCTGTAATAAAGGGTATATTATCAGCCTGAATTCTACAGAAATAATAATCCCTGTAGAACATTCAATCATGGTACTTGTGCTCAATTCAAGATCTTAGTCAGCAGTGATCATTTAATGCTGTGTAAATGCTTTTCTTTGTAGCTCTTTATGTTTAAATGGTTGCTTACTGGAAAGCTTCCTGGAAATGAAATGTACTATATGTTCTAGATGGTGCAAAATGCTGCGTGTGTTTATTTTTCTTTATTTCAATGAAATGTGCATGAAATGAGACTACACTGTGTAGTTTTGTAGCAAATTTAGAAATTAGAGCTGCTCTCATAGAGTTGTAATGAGCCTTTCCAGTTAATTAAGCTCAGTGGTTTATTGTTAAGTAAAAAAGTAGGAGTGCCTGGGTGAAATTAATGATTTTTTTTGTGGTTCGCCCCAAGCTGTCAGAATTGTAACAACTGCACTGTCTTTGAAGCAAGGATGTTTTTTAATTGCATGCTGAAATAGACTCCAACCCTGTGTGCCCCTTAACAGGACAAGCAGTATAGAAAGAAGATGGATTAGTGGTTTATATATTATATGCTGATGAATGGTGGACCTAGGATTGGAATATTAGTATTAGTATTTCAAATTATGTCCTGGTGTACCCATCAGAAAATACACTAACTTTGGTTACTCAAAAAGTAATTATAGACAAAGTTTGATGCAGATCTGTTTTCCTGCAGGGCTATGAAGTTTATATTTATATTTTTCCATTAATAATAATAATGATCTTTATTTGTAGAGCACTTTTCAAAAACAAGTTACAAAGTGCTTTAACAAGTGTAAAGACAATAATACCACAAAAACAATACAAGATAAAAGCAAGAAAACATTGAAAAGACTAAAATACACGTTTAAGATAAATAAAATAAGTAAAATAGAATAAAATAAAAGGGATAAAATAAAGTCAAATAAAATCGGGAAAGGCTCTCCTATAAAAGTATGTTTTAAGAAGGGACTTAAAAGAATTCACTGACTCAGCCGACCTGATTTCCTCGGGCAGGCTGTTCCAGAGGCTCGGGGCCCTAACAGCAAAGGCTCTGTCCCCTTTGGTTTTCAGTCGAGACTCTGGAACAGACAGCAGACCTCTGCCTGAGGACCTCAAGGTACGTGCTGGTGTGTATGGGACTAAAAGGTCAGAAATATAACAAGGCGAGAGGCCATGAAGAGCTTTAAAAGTGAATGATGATGATGATAAAATTTTAAAGTCAATTCTAAAACATACTGGGAGCCAGTGTAATGAAGCTAAAACAGGGGTGATGTGGTCAAATTTCTTTGTTCTGGTTAAAAGCCTGGCAGCTGAGTTCTGGACAGTCTGGAGTCGATCAGTAGATTTTTGGGGTTAACAAGTGAAAAGGCTGTAAAATGGTCTCGGTGTCCTTAAAAGTTAACATAGATTGAATTTTTGCTATATTTCTAAGTTGATAAAAACATGATTGAACAAACTTTGTGGTGTGCTGCTCAAAATTTAAATTACTATCAAAAGGTTCTTTGCAAC